AGGCAGGACGAGCACGGGAGGGGCGGTGAGACCAGACGTGCGACGGAGGAGTCGGGTCAGGAGACAGGGGAGGGGACACAGGAGGGGAACGAGGGGGGAGACGAGCCGGGGACGAGTCTGGCTGAGGAAAAACAGGGCCGTAGACAGGAAGAGAGGGAGACGGCCGGGGAGGAACAGACGCAGGGTCGGGTGACGGAAGGCCGAGCAGGCGAAGGGCGGACACCGGCGGGGACCGCTGCTGCGGCGGCACAACGGCGACACCTGGACCGCAAGCTGCTCCACGGCTACCACCGGCACTCTCCAGAGGGACCACCCCCAGGGCGACCGGGACGAGCACCCCCAGAGTCAGCGAACGGGGGCTGCGACGTCGGAAGCGGCGGCGGCGGAGGCGACGGCGGCGGCGGCGGCGGCGGCGACGACGACGGCTGCAGCAGCGGTAGTGGCGGTGGAGGAGGGGACTGGGGAGGGGACACCTGGGGAGGGGCGGCCGGCAAGGACTGGACAGGAGGGCCACCAGAGTCAGAAGACTCCTCAACCGGGTCCACGGACGGAAGGGGGGTGACGTGGGACACACCAGAGGGGGCGGGACGGGGAGGAGGAGGAGGAGGGGCAGGGACTACCGGGGAAGGGGTGACGAGGAACTGGGGGGGGGTAACCGGGGGACCACGGAGGGGAAAGCGGCGGTAGTAGGAGACGGACTCGTCAAAGGTGACGTCACGAGAGTGAAAGAAGCGGTGAGACGGCGGGTGGTAAAAGTGCCAGTCGGACGCGTCAAGGGGAAAACCGAGGAAGACGCAGGGAAGGGTGCGGGCAGTGAGCTTGTCCGTGCCGGAGGCATGGACGTGAGCAAGGCAGCCCCAGACGTGGAACGCAGACGCGTCACCAGGAGACCCAGTCCAAAGACGGGTCGGCGAAACCTGCGGCTGCTGAGGGTGCGGCCACAGGTTAAGCTGGTGAGACGCGTAGCGCACGGCGAACGGCCACAGAAAATGGGGTGCACCGGCATGGATCATGGAGGTGCGAGCGACCTCCATGACCAAACCGATGCGTCGCTCAGCGACCCCATTGTGCTGTGGGGAGTCCGGTAGGGTGAACGTCTGGGTGATGCCCTCCGCACGACAAAAGCGACCAAGGACACCGGAGGCAAACTCGCCACCACGGTCTGAGTGAAGACGCAAGACAGGGAGACCGCGGTGGACACGCGCAGAGACAAGCCAGGGGATGAGAGCGCCAGGCACGTCGGCCTTGCGCTCCAGGGGAAAGACTGAGGTGTAACGAGTGAAGTCGTCGACAAGCACAAGGAAGTAGCGCTCTCGACGCGGCTCAGGGACGGGGGCGGGGCCCCAGACGTCCAGGTGCAGGGTCTGCAGCTGCGCGGCGGTAGGGGGAAACGAGGAGGAGTGAGGGGCACGGCGAAGCCGACCCTCGACACAAGGCGTGCAAGGTGGGGCTGGAGAGGAGGGAAACGCGGGGAGCGAACCTGGGAGACCAAGGATGAGACCGTGCTGGGACATGTGACGCAGACGCGGGAGCGCAGGGTGACCTAGGCGGTGGTGCCACAGGAGGGTCGGGTGAGTGAGGGAGCGACAGGAGCAGGCAGCAGCAACCTGGGTAGATGCAGCCACCTGAGGGGGCGCTCCAGCCGGGGGGGTCGCGGTGTCCAGAGTGAACAGGCCGGACACCGGGTCCCGGGGGAACGTCGACAGGGGGGCACCAGTGGCGGCCTCGGTACAGACAGCATACCGCTCGTGGCCAGGGAACGTAGTGGTGACGCCAAGGTCCTGGAGGCAGCCGACACCAACTAGGTTCCTGGAGAACGAGGGGATATGCAGACCTGTAAGAGAACCCGAAGGAACCGCCGGACAGGGAAGGGTGGTGGAACTGCGGGCGACTACCGTACCGCCGGAGGGGACAGCAAGAGAAACGGCAGCAGGAACAGGAAGCGGCGTCAGGGTGGTGGAGTCGCGGAAGAAACACCGAGAGGCGCCAGAGTCCAGGGTGAAGGACAGCGAAGCCGAGGGGTCTGGCGACGGAACGACGGCGGAAGCACCAAGACTACACAAAGCAGGGGATCCTACGCCTGACGCAGCAGGGGAGGCTAAGCTAGGCACACCTACACTAGGCAACAGTGAGTAATAAGCGGGAAGCACACTAGAGTCATCAGCATACATCACATGCAGAGCGGAAACAATGGCATCCATGTCCATATCAAAAATCTGAATCTGACGACTAAGCAAACTGTGCCAGTCCGGGATGTCTGGCGACGGGCCGAAGCGCTGACGAAAGAGGTCGTCCAGGTGACGAAAACAACGGGGAGTGGAGTGACCGATCTTACCGCAAACGAAACCGCGGCGAGGACCGGTCTGGATCTGGTACTGACAACGCCCGCCGCCAGAGCCACCACGCGGCACACCACCACGCGCCCGGCCACCGCCAGCGCCGGGCCACCCTGGCGGAAGGACACTCGGCTGCCGCGTCTGCGGCGGCTGCTGCGAAGGCTGCGACTGCGGCGGCTGCTGCACCTGCAGGGGCGGCGACTCAGCTGAACTGGGCAGGGTCCCCTCGTCCACTCCAGCACCAGGCGACCCGACCCCACCACTACCCCCGCCCGCACCCCCGCCGCCTCCTCCGCCGCGCCCAGCCTTGGGGCGGCGGCCCTTCCCCGAACGGACCTGCGCTGCAGCAGCAGTCTCAGCCACTGCGGCAGAGCCGTCGGAGAAGGTGCACTGAGCGGGGGCACAACCCTGAAAGATAGGGACCGGCACGACACCGCTCGCCTGGGCGATGGAGCGGTGACGGGTCTCTATCACAGTCAGGGTGTCTACAAAGTCAGTGAGGGTGAGGTCTGCGGGGTGAACGCTAAGAAAGCGGTCGCGGGCGACAGCAAGGCGGTCAGGGAGGCGGGTGGCAAGCAGATAGAGGGTAGAGGTAATGGGCGGCTGGTGGGCTCTAAGCTGGGCGTCAGTGCAGGCAGCGCGCCAGGTCTCATCTATCGAGCGCAGGTGGGCAGCGAGGTCAGAGACAGTGGGGAAAGATGCAAGGTCAAGAAAGAGCATCGGAAGGATCAGGCGACCCACCGAGGCAGCCGGAGGGGTGGAATAGCGCTTGATCACAGCATCTAAGTATGCCTGAGCAGTAGTGAGAGACCTAAAGCGAGGACGCTTGGATGGGGGAAGGGCGTTGCTAATGGCAAGCTGGGCAACAGCATCGCGAGAAAGCCAGACAGAGCGCGCACGGGCAGTGGCAGCAGTAGACTCACGCTCAGTGGGTGTGGGGTCAGGGGGCAGGATAGCAGGGGGGTCTGGGCAGGGGAGCGTACCGTCAAGGTGTGCGGAAAGCGGTTCACCATCCTGCCGCTGACCAGTGAGTTGGCGGCGGAGGTCGGCAAGCCACGCCTCGAACTCTAGGGGCTGACCTTCAGCGTCGAAGCGAAGCTCCGCCGCCATCAGGAACAGTCCAGTGCGGTGCAGGGCAGTGCAGTGCGGTGCAGTGCGGTGCAGTGCGGTGCAGTGCGGTGCAGGGCGGTGCAGTGCGGTGCAGTGCCGTACAGTGCGGTGCAGTGCGGTGTAGTGCGGTACAGTGCGGTGCAGTGCGGTGCAGTGCGGTGTAGTGCGGTGCCAGGCAGTACAGTGTGGTGCGGGGCGGGGTGGGGGGGGGGGGAACCGTACCAGTGCGGAGGACGGGGCCGGGGCTGGCCCGACGGGGCCGGGCAGGCGCGACGGGACCGGGCTGGTGCGACAGGGCCGGGACGGGGCGACGGGGCCGAGCGGGCGCGACGGGGCCGGGCTGGGGCGACGGGGCCGGGCGAGTGCGGCAGGGCCGGGCCGGTGCGACGGGGCCGGGCGAGCGGGACGGCGGCCGGGCGGGTGCGACGGGGCCGGGCGGCTGCGACGGGGCCGGGCAGGGTGCGACGGGGCCGGGCAGGTGCGACGGGGCCGGACGGCTGCGACGGGGCCAGGCAAGGGCGACGGGGCCAGGCGGCTGCGACGGGGCCGGGCTGGCGCGACGGGGCCAGGCGGCTGCGACGGGGCCGGGCGGGCGCGACGGGGCCGGGCGGGTGCGACGGCGCCGGGCGGGCGCGACGGGGCCGGGCGGCTGCGACGGCGCCGGGCGGGCGCGACGGGGCCGGGCGGCTGCGACGGGGTCGGGCAGGGTGCGACGGGGCCCAGGAGGGGCGCTACAGGGCCCAGGGAGGGCGCGACGGGGCCCAGTAGGGGCGCTACGGAGCCACGGAGGGGCGCGACGGGGCCTGGGAGGGGCGGGACGAGGCCCAGGAGGGGCGCGACAGAGCCCAGGAGGGGCGCTACGGGGCCTGGGAGGAGCGCGACGGGGCCCAGGAGGGGCGCTAGGGGGCCTGGGAGGAGCGCGACGGGGCCTGGGAGGGGCGCGACGGGGCCTGGGAGGGGCGTTACAGGGCCCAGGAGGGGTGCTACGAAGCCCAGGAGGGGCGCGACGAGGCCCAGGAGGGGCGCTACGGGGCCCAGGAGGGGCGCGACGGGGCGCTACGGGACCTGGGAGGAGCGCGACGGGGCCCAGGAGGGGCGCTAGTGGGCCTGGGAGGAGCGCGACGGGGCCTGGGAGGGGCGAGACGGGGCCTGGGAGGGGCGCTACGAAGCCCAGGAGGGGCGCGACGAGGCCCAGGAGGGGCGCTACGGGGCCTGGGAGGAGCGCGACGGGGCCCAGGAGGGGCGCTAGGGGGCCTGGGAGGAGCGCGACGGGGCCTGGGAGGAGCGCGACAGGGCCCAGGAGGGGCGCTAGGGGGCATGAGCGGAAGCGGTAGGTGGGGGGGGGGGATCCTACCTACGCGTGATACCATATCAGAATAATTGAATGATGGTAAAGATGAGAGTACACACAAATATACCTAAGTGTTGTACCCTCTAAGCGGTAACCCTATACAGTCTATACAAACATAACAAATACAGACGTTTGACAGGGAGACCTAACCTAGTTTGATACCATCTCAGAACGCATTGGTTAGAAACAAGGGATACAAGGGAACTATAAGGTTGGGTGTTGTACTCTTTAAGAGCACGGACCCTTCTAGCATATAGCTGCTACATATACGATATATGTATTAGTTGACACTATGTATTACCCATCTGGAATGAAGCACACTGCCTTCGCAAGATGGCCTAAGCAAGCTTTCACAATTGTCAGAAATGAGAGTGAAAATCTATATTCAGCAGCCACCAGCACTTTGGGGCGTGGATACAATGAGGAGCGGCCAATGAGTACAGCCCAACAAAAGCTGTGCAGCACAGAAACCATTTCCCAGCGTGGCACTGAATTGCACCGCATAAATTGTTCTCTTCTTTCATTCCCAAAGATGACTCAGAATCGCGTCAAGCAGCAGGCGCCGGCTGGGCAGAGTAGCTGAGAGCGTGGATGATGTGCAGCAGGGAGGGCAGCGACTCAGCAATGGGGACGGAGGGGCGGTCGTGAAGGATGGGGCAGTCATAGTCGATGGAGGGCACGAGCCAGGGGGACACAGCAGCAATGAAGGAGTCCAGGTGTGGGGACAGAATGCCCTCCCAGTCAACCTGCTCAACGAAAAGGACAACCGAAACAGAACTGCTTGTGGGTCGGCAGCACATTCGCGGGTAGCCGATAATCCGCTACTGGGGATAAAAGTGTCAGAGAAATGGGCGATGTTGACCTGAAGCATGTTGCTGTGTGTGCAGACCAAAAAGTGGTGTGTGTGTGTGTGTGTGTGTGTGTGTTGTGTGTGTGTGTGTGTGTGTGTTGTGTGTGTGTGTGTGTGCGTGTGTGTGTGTGCGTGTGTGTGTGTGCGTGTGTGTGTGTGTGCGCGCGCGCTTGTGCGAGTGCGAGTGCGTGTGTGTGTGCATGCGAGTGTTTGTTTTTCCAGTGTCCCTTGTTCTGTTTGCTCCACACTCATGTGCCGCACCTGCAGCCCTCGTGGTGCAAGCGCCGTGACCTGCATGTCGGCTGCGAGGAAGAGCCCCAGCATGGTCACATACCCCACCATGGCTGTGCCGCGGGTCAATGGCCCGTACTGGTACCTGGGGGGTGGCAGCGCAACAGGGGGGGGGATGGAAAGCGCAGAGTGGTGGATGGATGGGGCAGGCGCGGAGTATGGCTGAGTGTTTGGAGCAGTGACGAGCGGACTGGGATTGTACGATGACACAACCCCTGCCCTTGGATCCCTCTCAGGATAGACCACGCTCCCCTCAACAGGCACACCTTGACCCCTCCACACTCCTCCTCACTACCCCCCCTCTCTCTCCCCCCTCCTCTCTCTCTCTCTCTCTCTCTCTCTCTCTCTCTCTCTCTCTCTCTCTCTCTCTCTCTCTCTCCCCCCTTCTCCCATCCCCGCCCTCCCCCCCTTCTCCCTTCCCCTGTTGCTCACCAGTAGAAGGTGAGGGTGAGGATGGCGCGATGGATGCGGTGGCGGTACTCCGACAGGTTGCTGTCCCTCAGAGCAGAGTCCAGGTACGCCGCACACAGTGCCTGGTGGGGGGGGGAGATGGGGGAGACGGACAGAGAGCACACCGGGGTGAAGGATGGAGGAAAGAGTGATGGACAGAGGGGGGAACGATGTGGAGAGGAGACGTCAGGTGGAGTGAGGTACAGAAGCAGGGTTGAGGAGAGAGTGAGAGCAGGGTGCGATGTGAGGGTGGGGAATGAGGGAGTTGTGGAGGCGGCACGTGCCTTCCATGCGGCGTCCATCTCGTGGTCGTACTGGAGGATGCGCGCTGGCGTGGCAAACACATTGATGGACAGCCGGTAGAATGTGGGGCTGCGGGGGGACGCGTGGGCACGTATGGCAAGGCCGCACATGAGAGAGGCCCAGGGGAGAGCGGAGGAATCAGAGGTGCGTATGGCTGCAATGGAGTGTGGTAGGTTGGACTGAATGGCCACAGACATGCATCCAGCAAATGAAGTGGCTGGCTAGGTGTGGGACAGACAGACACACAGCACAAGTGGTGTAGCACAAGTGGTGTAGCACAAGTGGTGTAGCACACGTGGTGTAGCACAAGTGGTGCAGCACAAGTGGTGTAGCACAAGTGGTGCAGCACAAGTGGTGTAGCACAAGTGGTGTAGCACAAGTGGTGTAGCACAAGTGGTGCAGCACAAGTGGTGTAGCACAAGTGGTGTAGCACAAGTGGTGTAGCACAAGTGGTGTAGCACAAGTGGTGCAGAGGGTGCGCAAGAAGGAGCGAAGAGAAAATGAAGGACTAACTCGACGATTGTGGTGCCGCTTGCCAAACGAACAAGAGTTTTATTGGTACTTTAGCACAAACTGTTTTTGTCCTGTACGTACTCTGCTACCTCCTCTGTGGTGGTTGCCTCGTATGTCACAACAAAATCCAACCATTTCCTAATAGACTCCAATGATAATGAATCCTGAGGTTTCAGGCTTGGATGGGACGATGGAGACGGGGAAAGGGGCAAAGCGGTGGAATGTGGTGGTGGCAGAGTAGAGGAAAGGTGGAGAGGTGAGGTGACTCACGTGCGGGAAAGGCTGATGCGAGTGCCGTTGAGCAGCATGCTGGTGTTTGAGGGGGGGAGGGACGGCCAGTGGGGAGGTGAAGAGAAACAAGAGGCATGAGAGGATGGGAGAGGCAGGTGGAGCGGCAAGGCACGCAGGCAAGTGGCGCATGGAAGGTGGCAAGTGGTAAGTGGTGGGGGAGGAGGGGAAGGGGGGAGGGGGGGCCCTATGGATTAGTGAGGGGGAGGAGGGAAGTGTATGGACTAGAATGAAGGGAGTGGTGGGTGCGAGGTGAACACCGTTCATGTCATCAAGCCTGCTCACACTCACCACTGCTGCCCCTTCACTCCCCTCCCTTCCTCAACCCCTCTCCTTCCCATTCCTCACTTCCTATCCCCTCCCTTCCCCACCCCTCCGTTACCACCTCCCCCTTCACTCTCAACTCCCCATCTTCCTCCGCCCCCCCTCCCCCTTTGCCCTTCACCTAGCAGCGGGTACCTGGGGCTCTCACCCCGGGGTGGCTGTGCTGTGGCAGGGAATCATGGCCCACGAGTCCGCACCCACCGCTGCCCACACCTCCTCCACGCTGCCTGCTGCTGCCAACTGTGTGCCATGCCATGCCATGGAGCAAGGTAGCAAAGGGAAGAAAACGTAATGTGGCTATGACGAAAAGAGGAGATGGAGACAGTAGGTGGAAAGAGGGGCGGGCAGAAAGGAGTGGGGGAGGGCGGAGGACGAAGGAAGGAGGACAGAGAGGACAGAGGACAGAGGACAGAGGACAGAGGACAGAGGACAGAGGACAGAGGACAGAGGACAGAGGACAGAGGACAGGGGACAGAAGACGGAGTGGCTCACCTGCTGCTTCTTATTCTCTGATGGTGCATCCTTCAGCAAGAGGGATTGCAGTACTTGGAGAGTCCTGAAGAGGGAGAGGGGGAGCAAGAGGGAGAGCAGGATGATTAGGAAGAGCGATCAGCCCCACCTTGACCTGTGACCCATCCCCGTTGGTGTCAGCTCGCCGCTTTCTTGCCCCTCCTACCTCTCCCGCTCTTGTCTGCCTGCTGCCGCTTCACCAGCTAGCTTCATTCTTTATGCTTCTTTCCACTGCCTGCCCTTCATACATGCCCTTACCTCAGTGTGCCTTATGCCTTCCCATCCAGAAAAAGGATTCTGTCTCAGACACGATAGACAAGGCATGGCTCCAGGGTGCAAGGCAGCATGGTTGCAGGCAGGCGCATGGCGGGCGAGCACCTGTTGTAGTAGGGCGAGTAGCGCGCGTTGATGGACTGCCCGTTCATGAGAGGCGTGTCCAGCGTCGCGTGCTGCTCACTGCCACTGCTCACATGCACATGGAAGGGGCACATACGGGTACAAGGAGGGGCAGGGGGCACACATGGTGACAGGGACAGAGGGTACTCACATGCCATGCCATGCCAGGGGGGGTCGGGTGAAGGGCTGTGGTCCATGTGTGTGCATGTGCTGTGGCATGCCAGGGGGGTCAGGGAGTGGATACGCATACGCTTATGAGTTGTACAGAGTGCCTCGTGGTGTGTGCGCTGGGAAACTACAAGCTGCGGCACAGCCCTGCTAGAAAGCCCTCCGTCCTAGGTCAAACCCCGCTCAGCATTGCTCTCACTAGGGTCAGACTCGCCCTTGCATAGTCGGGAGTCGCTTAATAGCATACACTTTCTAGGTGACTAGCTAGCCCACTACAGTGAGCTCGGTTCGGCATGCATACACAGTACGTGCAGCTCATGCACATGCATGCACCAAGGAAGTGCACAATCAATGAAGCACACACATGCATAGCAGCAGCTGCAGGCACACAACCAACCACAGGCGCAGCAAGCAAGAATGCCACTCAATGCTCCCCCAATGCCCTTCCTCCCTCCCCCGCTCCCACCCACTCGTCCCACCTGAGTCGATCCAGCCACACCACAGCCGTGCTTGGCTCGGCCAGCTGTCGCCACCTCACGACACGGTCATACACCTCCCTCCACCCCGCCACTGTCTCCCCCCACCTCCTCCGCCCTCTCTTCCCTCTTGCACCATCGCCCATTCCTCCCCCTCCCTTCCCCTCCTCCCCCCTCTCCTGCTGCTCTCGCTGCTGCCGCCTCTGGCCCCTTCTCCCTTCAGACGCCCCACTGCCCTCCGCCGCCACCCCCTCCCCCATTTGGCTTGCCCTCTTGTCCGCCATGCGCTGCCATGTGTGGCGCACCAGGTCTCGAATGTCCATCATAGCCAGCCCTGCCATGCGGTACTGACGGCCGTGCGCAGGGGGGTGGTGATGGTGATTGGAAGTGGGGGGGGAAAAGAGGGGGGGATGGGGGATTTAAGGGTTCAATGCTTGCCATGACTCGGAGCGGCGAGAGAGCAGTGACGGATGGGAAGACATGGAGATCTAGAAGAACTACAGCGTACGCCCAGTGTGTAATGAGTTGATTTTTGAGTCGACTCAAAAATCGACTCATTACACACGGATTATACACTGAGGGAATTTTTGTCGCATGGAAGGCTGGGCGTAACTTGCAAAAGTTACTTGTTCGCGCGAGACTCCCTGAGCACCAGCTGGCGAGATGTGGGTTACCCACGACACGTCCCGAGGAATGAAGACCTGGCACCTTGGAACTTTCCATGGTGTTTTGGATTGGCTGACCAGATTTCAGTCGCGGTTGTTCCAACCTTGAAGTTGTTGTTCTCGTAGCGCAGTTTTTGTTTAAGAGCTCGCTTGTAAACTCACTTTTATAATTCCACCAGCACTGATGAAGGTCTGACTTGGGGCCTGTCCCAGTCAGCCGAAACTAGTTTGCGTTTTAATCTTCTAGTGGAGTTGAGTTCGGAACTTCAATTTCTCGCATTTTAAACAGGGGTATCTTTACCTACGGTTTCTCTTTTGCTGAAGTTTCCCTTTTCGCTGCAGCCCACCCTAATGCTTAATGGCTACAAGTTCATTAGGTTTCCCAAATTCTTTTGGTGACGCCGGCGAAGAAGATACGAATTTCGCACTGATTCCACGCGGAGCGGACCACTCCTCCAAGACCTATGCAGGATACAAGCGTTCCCACACCGGCAAGGGAGTTGAAAGTTCTGCATCAATTCGCGAGGAAGACGAGCAAGACAAGCAATCTGAAGATTCTCCTGACATGGCCGACATGGACGTCCAGAAAGACGGCAAGCCTGTGGATCAGGCTCCTGTCAACCCGACTACCGATCGCGTGTCTCACATTCCGGAGCCTTTCAAAGGTTGGATGGCGGCAGCGGTCAAGGGCTTCAGGACGGACTTCAAGGCACTCCTCGAGGCGAAGTCGAAACTGAAGAAGATGAAGGCCCTCCACGAGCAAGGTGTGATTCTGCACAGCCTTCGCACCAAGGTCGTGGAGTTCCAGACCAAGTACCCCCTGACGCGGGAAAAGTCGGCTGCATGGGTCGCCTCGGTTCCTCTCGAGAACCAGAAGGGCATTCAGGAAGGTTTCATCAAGTCCAAGTAGGCGGAGGTCGAGGAAATTCAGTCAGCATCCGCCTCTCACCTGGCAGTTCTGGCGGCCAACCTCGAAGACTACATACAAGGCCTCAGCTCCGACCCCGAGCTCACCGTATCTGATGCGGCTAAGGAGCGCTTCCGGAGGATCAAGGCGTCGTGCATCGAGCAGGCCAAGTCTGAGATCGTCACCGCCAAGGATGAGATCGTCATCCAGGAGCTGCACAAGCAGAAGGCGCACGAAGCTGAAGAGTTGAAGAAAGCTGCTGCTGCTGAAGAGATGGAGAAAATGGAAACAGCTCCAGTACTCGACGAACTCGTGCTGAGAGCTACTAAGCGGCAAGTCAAGGCGATGCGCAAGGAAGTTGTGGCGAGCGTCACTACGAGCGTCACTACGAGCGTCACTACGAGCGTCACTGCGAGCGTCGAGGCGAAGCTGACTGCGAAGTTCCAGAAGAGTTTGTCGATGGGATCGCAGGATCCCAAACTGGCCCCCTTGTCTTCGAAGCCCAAGGCGGACCCGTCCAAGAACCCGAAGAGTAACTCTTCTGGGAACACGGCAGATGTACCGAAGGCTCCGAAGAAGCGAGGGAGAGGCAAGAAAACGAAGTCTCCAGTAGACATGATTAAAATGCGATTGCGATTTATATCGCATCGCATAGGGGTGCGATGTAAAAAAAAGCGATGCGATTTAAAATCGCATCGCGCGATTTAATTTCGTGAAAAAAATAAATCGCACATCGCATTTTGGGCGCGATGTTAATTTAAACCGCATGCGACGTTTATTTAAATCGCGCGATGCGATTTTAAATCGCATCGCATTATACTTAAATTAAAAAACCCCTCAGAAAACCGGATAAAAAAAACCAACATCGATGGGAATTTGGATCAAGGGCAGTCGTGGGCGGTAGTTTAGATAAATAATTCGGTTCAGTATTGGGTTTAGGACAGGTGCGAGCCTCCGTGGTATTTCGAAATCACGCGCGATAAAAAAAAAATCGCGTATTGCATTTTAATCGCGATTTTCAGCGAGATTAAAACGCGATTTAAATTAAATCGCGCGACAAAAAAACATCCATCGCGCGATGAATTAAAAAAAAAAATACATCGCCATCGCAAAAACGCGATCAAATGCGATGCGATGCGATCTAATTTGCTCATGTCTAGCCTCCAGGCGGCAGCGGAGGGAAGGGCCAGCAATCTTCCTCGACTACGGCCCAAGTTAAAAAAACCGCGGCGGCGGCGTAGGAAAAGGGCCGCGTAAGAACTAACTGCACGAGATCTCGCGCTGCACCGGTTCGGATGTTTGACCTTACGGCAGGTGCAGTCACGCATTCGAAACCGGGGGGTACACAACCTGAGCTCCAAGGTTTTATCTCACGACGAAACCAAGGCGCTCGGGATGGGACTCAAATTCGCACCGACGCCGCTGTGGAACTTTTTCATCGAAGCAGATCTGGATCAACTGCATCGACGGATCTTCCTCAGTCTTTTCTTCAAGGATCAAGGGTCTTCAACTTCATCACGTTTTCGGGTGAAGAATCCAATCTGGAGACCCGAGCAAGACGCGGTCCCAGAGCATGTCTTCAAGGAGGCGCGAGCCGACCTATCTTTCCTGCTGAAAGCGTGTAAGCCGTCTCGTGGACTCGACCTTTAGCGAGGAGTCCGCGCGGCTTTACGCTCCTTATCGCTCGACAGCAACATCGTCATCAAGCCTGCTGATAAAAACGTCGGAGTAACTGTGATGGATTGCGCGCACTACGTCGCTCTCTACATGGATCATCTCGACGACGCGACAGTGTACCAGCCGGTTCGTCACGACCCAACTCCTTCTGTTCTACAGCACCTGACGGAGCTGAAGGCGACGTGGAGACCTGCTTTTCCTGACAGTCTTTGGAAATACTTTTTCGATCGTCCGCCAAGAGGATGGCGACCAGCAGCATTCTATATCCTGCCGAAGCTTCACAAGAAAGTACCCGTGGGACGACCGATCGCCGCCTCACACTCCTGGGTCACGACTAATGTGAGCCGATGGCTGGATTCTCAACTACGACCGCTAGTGCTCAAACAACCGACCTACCTGCGCGACTCCCTCTCTCTGCTAGCGAAGCTGGAAGCTTCGGTTTTTCCACCAACTGTGCTCCTGGCCACTTACGACGTCACCTCGCTCTACCCAAGCATCTCCATCGTTCGAGGGCTCGAAGCAGTTAGCAACTTTCTCCTGAGGGCACCAACACAGCTCGCTCAACCGCTCATGGCTTTCTTGGGATGGGTCATGAGGAATTCTTTTGTGGGAACTCCAGTTGCAGTCTGCTTTGCGGTCCTCTTTATGAGCCGTCTCGACGAGCTGCTTAAGGAGAGGTGGACCGGTATATCACCAAGTTACCATGTCCGTTACATCGACGACGGCCTTATCATTTGGCCAGGCTCGCGGGCTGATCTGGAGGAGTACCTGCGAACCTTCAACGGCTTGGATCCTTCCATCAGGATCACGTGGAATATCTCGGAGCACTCCGTTGATTTTCTGGATGTTGTCCTCCACAAGGGGCAGCGTTTCAAGAAGTGCGGTCGTCTGGACCTCGGCACTTTTCAGAAGCCGATGAACAGATACCTCTACCTTCCCTTCTCCTCCTTCCACCCTCGGCACTGCAAGGAGGGTTTCATACGCGCCGAACTACAGCGTTACTTACTGCGTTCGACATCCATGCGCACTTTTCTTGCAACGAAGCAGGCTTTCTTCCAGCGGCTTCGCGACCGCGGTTTCCCCCCTGCTTTCCTTCAACCGATCTTCAAGGGCGTCCTTTTCGCGCAACGCGCAACACTACTCGCCAACACTCTCGCAAACCAGCAACGTCGACGACATTCTCTCCCCTCATCACGTGGACCCCTAGTTCTGAAGACGACCTACACACCTGTGTCGACCCATCTAAAACTAGGGGTCGTTTTGAGTCGACTCAAAAATCGACTCATTACACACGGATTATACACTGAGAATTTTTGTCGCATGGAAGGCTGGGCGTAACTTGCAAAAGTTACTTGTTCGCGCGAGACTCCCTGAGCACCAGCTGGCGAGATGTGGGTTACCCACAACACGTCCCGAGGAATGAAGACCTGGCAACTTGGAACTTTCCACGGTGTTTTGGATTGGCTGACCAGATTTCAGTCGCGGTTGTTCCAACCTTGAAGTTGTTGTTCTCGTAGCGCAGTTTTTGTTTAAGAGCTCGCTTGTAAACTCACTTTTATAATTCCACCAGCACTGATGAAGGTCTGACTTGGGGCCTGTCCCAGTCAGCCGAAACTAGTTTGCGTTTTAATCTTCTAGTGGAGTTGAGTTCGGAACTTCAATTTCTCGCATATTAAACAGGGGTATCTTTACCTACTGTTACTCTTTTGCTAAAGTTATCCTTTTCGCCGCAGCCCACCCTAACGCTTAATGGCTACATAGTGATCTAGAAGAACTACAGCGTACGCCCACCCACTCACCTTCCCTCTCCCTCCCCTACCCCCTCCCCTCCTCTCCCCCTCCCAGCAGCCACCTGTCGTGTGTTGGGAAGGAAGCCGTGCCAGTCATACGCAGTGAGCGCGCCCACCCTCTCAGCAGCGCCCAGCAGCAGCAGCAGCGCGGGCGACAGCTCGGGCAACGCCGCCTTGGCATTGCCGTGGTCCCCCGTGGTGCGAGTGGTGCGCGCGCCCCTCTGCAGCTCGTAGCCCGGGAACAGCACAGATGGCGCCAGGCGCTTGCTCCACGCCTCCTGGGGCCGGTGGGGGCCAGGCGTTGGGGCCCACATGGGGGCAGGCAGGGACGGGCGAAACAAGGAATGGGATGGGAGTGGAGGGGACGGGTGTGAGTGCGGTGTTGGAAGGGGAAGGGGGGTGGGGAAGGAATCCGGGATAGTGTGGCGTGGCAAGCAGCGGTGCAGAGAGACGGGGTATGTCTCACGTTGAAGAGACGCCCGAGGTGGTCGCACGGGCGGAAGAGAGCGAGGGGCTTGCTCTGCCGCCCTGCCATGTACTGCGCTAGCTCCCTCTGTGGCCATGCGGTGCAGCGCACGCACACATGCACGCACACACATGCACACACACATGCACACACACATGCACACACACATGCACACACACATGCACACACACATGCACACACACATGCACACACACATGCACGCACACATGCACGCACACACATGCACACACATGCACGCACACACATGCACACACATGCACACACACATGCACACACACATGCACACACACATGCACACACACGTGCACACAGACATGCACACACACATGCACACACACATGCACACACACATGCACACACACACATGCACACACACATGCACACACACACATGCACACACACACATGCACACACACACATGCAGACACGCATGCACACACACATGCACACACACATGCACACACACACATGCACACACACATGCACACACACACATGCACAAACACATGCACACACACATGCACACACACTTGCACGCACACACAAACACATACACACACATGCGCACACACACATGCGCACACATACATGCGCACACACACATGCGCACACATACATGCACACACACACAGACACACCCACACACAAGCACACGCACACACACACACACACGCTCACATGCACACACACACACGCGCGCGCACCCACACACACGCACACACACAGAAACACGCTCGCATGCACACACACACACGAACACATCCCCCTCCACACACACAGAAAGAACATACAGGAGCAGGGGAGAGAGAAAAGGAGTGTAAGAGACGCACAATCAATGCATGCTGGTAGTGAAGGCCAGGGTGGTAAGCGGCAGGGTGTAGTGTAGTATGAGCACACTGAAGCAAAGCGGAAGCAGCAGCAGCAGCAGCGGCGGCAGTCACCTGGTAGAAGGCCTGGTAGAGCTTGCCAGGGTCTGTGCCAGGTTGTGGAGTGAGGCTCATGAGGTCGTTGTACTTGAGCACCTGGGGTGAGGGAGAGATGGACAAGGTGTGCAGCACAGGGGTGGCAGGCAAGGGAAAGCACCAAGGCAAGGGCAGCACAGAGGCAAGGGCAGCACAGAGGCAAGGGCAGCATAGAGGCAAGGGCAGCACGACGCTGTGACTGCACCAACACACGGAGTGCAGGGCCAAGGGGGGGGATACTGACCGCTTCAGCCCACCGGCCCATGGCGTGCAGAGAACACGCTTCCAGGAAGCGCATCTCGATGTCCGATGGTGCGAGGCTGAGGGTGTGCTGCGCTGTAGATAGCACTGTGCTGTGGGACATGGCGGGGGATGCGACAGGCACGGACACACGGAGGGGCAGAGAGGGGAGAGGGCGAGCAGGCGGGAGCAAAGAGAGGGATGTGAAGACAAGGAGCGGAGACAACAGGGAGCAATAGTGGCAAGGAGCAGCGAGGAGGGGCGAGCGAAGGAGAGGGGGGGTGCTGCCATGCGGGGATTGGAGGAGTGGTGGAGAGAGCGGAGAGGGGCTTTTGGAGTGGACTGAAGGGGCGTTGATGTGACGATACAGGGTGGAGACATGCTGGGGAGAGGAGGGAGGAAAGGAAGGGGGCGAGGGGAGAAGGAGGGGATCGAGGGGGGAAGGAGGGGCGGGGAGAGAGGAGTTAGTTGAGGAGGGGATGCGGTTGAGGGGGAGGGTGTGGTTGAGGGGGCCACACGTACTGGTGGTGGCCCAAGGAGAGCTGGAAGTTGGCGTAGATGCGGTGGATGTCTGCATTTCTGGGGGGGGAAGGGGGGTGCGCCATGTCACAGCAGGGGAAGAAGCGGGGCAGAGAGGTGTGAGGTTGAATCGAAGACGCATGTGAGCGCGTGCATGCAATGGAGAGCACACAGATTGCCACTGCTGTGCCAGTCTCTCACACTTTCCAGCATCTCCCTCTTCCACACTCTCGCCACTGTCAACCCCAGCATGGCCATTCTGTCCTTCTCCCCGATCTCCCTCCCGATCTCCCCCCACTTCTGTATCCACTCTCACATCACTTCCCCATCTCTTCCCCCCTCCCCCCTTCCCCTCATTCGCCCACTCACCGCTTGGAACTGACCCTCTCCTTGGCCACCTATCCCCCCCCCCATACAAACCCAAAACTCCTGCCTCATCACCTTCCCCTCCACGACTCTCCCTGTCCCCGCCACCCCCCACCCACCGTGCGTCCATGCCCATTGCTCCTCGCAGCACCTCATCCGCCTCGTTTGCATGGCCTGCCACCATGAGCGCCTGCCCCAGCACCACCTGCACCTGCCAGTACTGCGGCATCACCGCCATCACCGCCCGCAGCTCATCCACCGCCTCCGCACTCCGCCCCGCCTCCAGCAGCGCCTGCGCCTGCCGGGTGGAGGGGAAGAGGGAAGGGAGGGGTTCGCTGGGGTGTGAGGCAAGAGCGCAGCAGAGAAGGATGGGGAATCGCCTGCATGGCGTTGTGTGCCTGCAGCCACCACCGTTGCCAGGTGCAGAGGGGGCGGGATGGGGTACCAGGTGCAGAGGGGGCGGGATGGGGTTACCAGGTGCAGAGGGGGCGGGATGGGGTTACCAGGTGCAGAGGGGGCGGGATGGGGTTACCAGGTGCAGTGGGGGCGGGATGGGGTTACCAGGTGCAGAGGGGGCGGGATGGGGTTACCAGGTGTGCGCGTGCGTTGTGGTTGTGTGGCGAGAGCAGCAGCACGGCCTCAAAGTCCCGCATGGCCTCCCAGTTCCGACCCTCCCCTAGCAGAGCCACGCCTGGGCGGGGCCGGTGGGGAGGAGGATGGATAGGAGGAGGTGGGGGGGGGTTCAATGGAAGGAGTAGGAAAAGGTAGCTTAGTTATACTGAGGCACAAGACGTAATCTGAGTTCTTATTAAAAGCAGTTATTAGTTCAAATGACAGTCCATGCTCTATGCAATGCGCCAACCAATCCAAACTCCATCCACCTCCCTCTCCCCTGCATCCCTCGTCTCCACCACGCCACTGCCACCTTGCCCTGGAACTCCTTCCTCTCCCTTACTCCTCCCTCCAATAGTCTCTAACGTACATACCACCCCCTCCCCTCGCCCCACTGCCTCCCCCCCTACCTCGTTGGAACAGCAGTGCGCTGTTCCCTGGCGCCCCCTGCACGGCTCGACGCAGCCGCGCTATTTCCTGGCGAGAGGAGCAAAACGACACGAACAGGGGAGTGGGGGGAAGGGGAAGGCTGCTTGGGGGCGAGTGGAGTGGCATGTGGCATGAGTCCCGTAGCTTTGGTGGGGTGCTCGATATGTTCCGTGGGTGAGAGGGAGGGCACTTTACGGAAGGGTGGTTTGTGGGACTGGGGGAGGGGGTAGGGTTATGTGGCATGATAGCATGGTGGAGAGTGGAGGAGTGGCAAAGTAGATCAGGAGGTCGTTGCACAAGCAGGTAGGCATGAGCAAAGGGCGAGTCGAGGCTCGACTCGCCCGAGTCGGAACCGAGTCAAGCTAAAACCGAGTCGAGTCTGACCCGAGTCGGCCCGAGTCGGTTTCGCCAAGTTTCTGACTCGTGACTCGGACTCTGGGGGCCGAGTCAGAGTGACTCGCCCGAGTCAGGGCCTGACTCGACCCGAGTCTAGTCAAACTCGACTTGGTTACGGGCATACCCACCTCAGGAAGGCCTAACCTGGCAATCTGGGGACTAACGCGAGGCTAGCAGGCGGTTAGCGGCTAACTGTCCAGACCTATTTTGCTTGCAGTAGCGGTCGTCGACGTATGCATGAAAGAATGCCCAGATCTATTTTGCTTGTGTCGTGCACAACCGCTCGACCAGATCTGTGCTGCTTACGTCATGCATGGTACATTTGTGACAACTGTAGACGCGACACCATCCGACAGAATTCCGACTCGGTGCAAAGGAAATTCGACTCGACCAAGTCAAATTTCGACTCGACTCGGGAGCGACTCGGGACATTTTCCAACACCGAGTCGAGCAAAACTCGAGACTCGGGTGACTCGACCCGACTCGAATCTAACCGAGTCAGAGGTAAAAAAAAACAAACTCGACTCGCCCATATGGGCGAGTCGAGTCACCGAGTCGAGTCAAAACTCGGCTCGGTTGCTCATGCCTACAAGCAGGGGTGGCATGGCAGGCATGCAAGTCACGGCAAGAGCCAAAGGTTGGTGTGAGGGTGGGCAATGGGGAGAGGGGGAGACAGGCAGGCCATGGGGACGGGCGGAAAGGGGACGAGGGGAAAGTGAAGAAATGATGAGCAGCGGTATGGAGTGAGCCGACCCAGCCGCACTGCCTCGTTTTGCAGTGTCGCAGCTCCACCCATCCTCAAGTCTACATCCCCATCCTTGGACCTCCAACCCATGCCCATGTGCCCCCCAGCCACCCCTAGCCCCAACCAGGCGAGCACAGCAGCTTGGACGCCCTGGTGCTGCCATCATCACCCCATCACTCCGTGCCCCACGATCATGCCCTCTCGCCCGAAGCACCACACCCATCATACGCCACGTCACCCCAGCCCACCCACTGATGCATCGTCCCAGGAGGAGGGGTGGGTTTGGAAAGAATGGCATGAAGGCACGGCATGGAGAGGCCACTCCATGAGTACAGGAACCTGACGAAGGGAAGGGGGGGGTCCACCGAGGAGTGATCAGAGGTAGGGGGATAGAGGCAGGGGAGAGGGAGATAGGTAACCTGGGAGTCAGCAACGTGAGAAGGGGCGGTGAAGGGCGGTGGGGACAGAGATGGCGGCGGGCCATGTGGCGGTGATGCGTGCGGCGACCCCTTAGTGCTTGACATGGCTTGGGGAGGTGGTAGGGGCGTGTGTGATGATGGAGAGGATATGGTGGAGGCAGGAGGCGGTGATGATGGGGGGGAGTGTGGAGTGGGGGAGGAGGGAGAAGGGAGGTGGTGGGGTAAGGAGGAGGAGGTGGAGGAGGGAGGAGGAGGAGGAGGAGGAGGAGGAGGGAGGAGGAGGAGAGGAGGAGGAGGAGGAGGAGGAGGAGGAGGAGGAGGAGGAGGAGGAGGAGGAGGAGGAGGAGGAGGAGGAGGGAGGAGGAGGAGGAGGAGGAGGAGGAGGAGGAGGAGGAGGAGGAGGAGGAGGAGGAGGAGGGAGGAGGAGGAGGAGGAGGAGGAGGAGGAGGAGGAGGAGGAGGAGGAGGAGGAGGGAGGAGGAGGAGGAGGAGGAGGAGGAGGAGGGCAGCAGGTGATATTTGAGGGGCACGCAGAGCGCCAAGAGAGGGGAGGGCCCATGAGGCATAGAGGTGGAAGGCATGTAGAGGCGGGGGAGCATGGCGTGGCGAGCTAGTGAGAGCGCAGTGAGGCACGCACCTGTGGCAGGGCACGGTGAGAGAAGGCAAGGCAGCAGGCAGAGAGGCAGGATGAGAGGAGAGAGCACGGATGCTCGGATGATGAGTAAATGCGTGAAATAGGAGTCGTGATAGTGAAAGGGGGAGCTGAACGTGGAGAGTGAGCATCTTTAGCTGATACATACCACGTACACGACACCACACACCACACCACACCACACCACACCGCAATGCACCACTCCACATCACACCACGCCGCACCCCACTGCACACTCTGAGTGAGGGCCTCTGACCTCACCCGCACCACACCTTCCAGGAGGAACAGCTGGGGGCACGTCCCACCCTCCCACACAGCCCCATCCTCCCACAACGCCCCGCCCTCCTGCCTCCCATCAGCCTCCCTCCCTTTCTCCCACCTCCTTTGCTCCCTCCCCCCTCCGTGCTCCTCGCTGCCCCTCTGCTGCTGCTTTCCCGCCCGCCCTCCTCTCTTACTCCGCCTTCCCCCTTCCGCTGCGCCCCAGCCCGCCCCAATCCCCACCAGCGCCCCCTGCAGCCCGCTGCTGGGGAAGGGGGTAGGGGTGGGGAGTGAGAGGGCAGAAACGAGGACACATGGGGTGGAGGAAAAGCGGCAAGAGGCACGACAAGAAGTAAGGGGGGTTGATGGGATGGGTTTAACTCCGAAAGCGGGGCGAGGGGACAGTGGGGGGTGTGAATGGTCCTCGCAGTGGGTTTGGGGCGAAGGGGTAGCGAGAGGCAGGGAGGGGAATAGTGCCAAGGGACAGTGCATGAGGCGAGGAGACGATGGGGAGGTGAGAGGAGGTCGGTCGGCACCTGTGGGGGGGTGAGTTCATGTAGGGGGTCAGGGGAGGAAGGAGTGGGGGGAGAAGAGGACGGGTGGCAGTGCTGCTGTGGAGGGGCGCGGGGCGGTGAATGCAGGGTGCACGGAGGAGGCGAGGCGAATGCGGCGAGTGGGGAGCGACGGGCGCAGAGCTCCTACCACGGGCGACTGTCAGCGTCGCCACGTGAGGCGCCGCAGTGCGCCGCCATGCTCGCCGCGGTCACATGCACGCCGGCTGTCGCATGGCGACGATGCTGCGACGAGCACGGCCATCGCACAGCGCCTGCGACGCTCAGGCCTGAGCAGAATTCCCCTCCCAAGTCAAGCGACGCGCATTCATTCGCCTCGTCTAATTGCTCGGCTGTGGGCGTCCGGCAGTGCGCGGGGGCACTGGGGCGGCGAGAGGGCAGGAGGAGCAGGTGGCAGGCCGCCGTGACGTTGAGCGCAAGGCACGCGAGGGCGGAGAGCGACGAGGCGGACATTGCGTTGCGGTGAGGTGACGGCGGAGGTGAGAGCAGGGTGGGAGAGCGAGTGCAAGCAGCGCGATGGGACTCCCCATGGGCCAAGGGATGGTCCAGTCCAGTCCACATTGCCCAGGTTGCGAAGCTGTGAAACTAATGTTTCAGGGCACGGTGGTGCTGGGTGCTGTACGGCGGGTGGTTCCCTCAACAGCTCACCAGCAGCGACTGTTACCCCGGTACTCACCTGGATATAAGCGCGGTATGTGTTTTAAAAAGAGTCTCATGTGCTTTTAGTTGGATAAACTTCAGGGTTAAAACCCGCATCCCAAATTGTTCAAACGCACTACGTATGAACTGGGTTTGTAGAGAGAGAAGCTTATTAAACGGTTTGTTGGAAATACCTCAAGGACTTGAGCGTTTCTGAAGTGTAACACCACACTCGAGGAAGATCGTAACGGGTACGCGAGTCAACGGAGGTTACACGAGGGGATGGACAAACAACACGAAAGGACTCGAAGGGTCGCAACTGGAGGTTGCGATTGACAGTTACAGCTGCAAAGATGGTAGCCGAAGCGACAATCGAATCGCTGTGCGACTCGATAAACCGCCCTTTTTCAACTGTATTTTACAACTGCTTTACTTTCCTACTTTCTATATACTGTTGTATGCTCGTTCCTTTAATCAATCACTTGTTCTCATATACTAGTACAAGGGTTCAATTACCTCAACTTCCGCTGCACTACTCAAGTCTTTTACAACTGGGACTTAGTCTCTGGAAAGATCCTAATGTCAAAAGACTAGCTTAGCTAGGAAGCCATAGAATGGCACAAGGTTTAGCTAGGAGCTAGGAGGAGCCATGAGAATGGCGAGAGGTTTTAGGTGCTAGGAAAGTTGAGGAGAGGAAAAAAGAGAGTTGGATTAGGAAGAGAGAGGAGTACAAGGAGGGGTTTGTACCCTCTACAGAAAAGGTTCAGTAACAACCTACCAAGCCTATGTAAATTATAACTTATATAATTTTAACACACCCCCTAGGCTTGGTAGTCACACACCCACACACACCCACACCCCCTAACCTAGCACCCCCATTCCAGCCACAGTGACAGCGACTCTAGGTCGGTCGACCCCACGGCGCGTGAGGCGGCGACGTCGACCGCAGGGGCTGCGGCGGTGACGGCGGCAGCGGCTGGAGTGTCGACAGCGGCGGCGGCGGCGGCGTGCGGCTGCGTGGCCCCGACGCAAGCGGCGACAGCGGCGGCGGCGGCGGCTTCGACAACAGCGGCAGCGGCGGCGGCACCCGCACCTCTCGGTGACGTGGCCTGGCCCCGCGACTGTGGGACGGCCGGCGGGAGTCAGCCGTCGTCTGCGGAATGGAAGAGGGCGCAGGGGAAGGAGGGGGGGTGGGGGGGGGGGCGGCGCCACAGGCTGACATGCGGGCGGCCGGTCTAGCGGCGCCACAAGCGTCACGCGGCCGGCTGCAGCCCGACGACGCCGTCATGGAGCGGCGTCGATGCCGCAGCGGGGCGTCGACGCTGCGACGGCAGCACGACGTCGCTGGTACGCCGACTGCGCGCTGTCGCGTAGACGCCGCGGCAGCGTGACGGCGCCGTCACGTCGCGACAGCATCTTGACGCGACGGCGGAGCTGCGGCACGACGGCGCGGCCACAGCAGCTGGACGCGGGCGCCATGGACGTCGACGGCGGCGCCGCGGCACGACGACGCGGCCACAGCAGCTTGACGCGGCCGCCATGGCAGCGCGAGATAGAGAGAGAAACGAGCACGCAGCGGAAACGCGAGGAGCAGGCCCACACGGAACGAACTGCTCTAATACCATGTCAAAAGACTAGCTTAGCTAGGAAGCCATAGAATGGCACAAGGTTTAGCTAGGAGCTAGGAGGAGCCATGAGAATGGCGAGAGGTTTTAGGTGCTAGGAAAGTTGAGGAGAGGAAAAAAGAGAGTTGGATTAGGAAGAGAGAGGAGTACAAGGAGGGGTTTGTACCCTCTACAGAAAAGGTTCAGTAACAACCTACCAAGCCTATATAAATTATAACTTATATAATTTTAACACCTAAGGGCATTTCTCAGCCCAACACGGTTAAAACGGATTATGGAAAACAAATAGCCTAGAGGATTTTAGCTCTTTAATTTGTGTTCAAATGGAACATTTTCCCAAGGGGTTCGTCAGAGAGTAAAAAATTAACTAGAATAAGGTTGATTTTGTTCAAATGTTTGTACCCTCTAAGAGCATGCACCTATCTAGCCTATCATAACATATACAAATATGTTTGACACACCCCCTAGGCTAGATGAGGGGCAGTGCCTGGAAGCCGACACACAACTCAAGGTGGCACTACTGTCAAACATACCGTATTCCCCCGTATATAACACCCTAGGGTATTGTCAAAATTTCGTAAAAAAAACGTATGGGTGTTAACAGTAGGCTGGAAAAATAAAACACCCATGTCTTATGTAAAATGCAAAATGAATTTGGGTTGTAACACGCACTCTGAGGCCAGAACTTCACCGAGCATCTGCTAATGAGGAATCTGCTACAGAGATTGCGTACTCTGACAGGGTCAGTTTGGTGCCTTTGAAAACGGTGGAAGATTGATGCTGCAGTAGTGCCAAGTGTCATTGACCAATCTCGTAAGAGTGCTGTGAACAGAGTCACGACCATTGCTGACGCGATCGAGGTGGTTCAACAGCAAGATGGACGGTCGAGATCCTCTCGACACTTTTTGTCTTTCAATTTCATGTTGCCACTTGTATTGATTCTTCTGCCCGTCTTTGCGCTGCGAATCGCAGCTGACGCGATTTTAATCGTGTTCGTATTTTTGCAGCTGAGCGAACCTTGGTAATGAAGGACAGAATACTATTTAAAGGCAAGAAAAACGTGCAGGGTGTTATGTAAAATGCAAACCTAGAAAAGCGGGTACTCTCAAAAATGCGTCATATCATAAGCTATCCCCACCCGTGGGCTGACTATTTCGGCGGGTCTTATATACGGGGGATTACGGTATGTGTGTATGTTTAGTAGACTACATAGGGTTATGACATAGAGAGTACAACCCACTAGCTATATACCCCTGTATACTCCCATTCTACTCAACAGTTCTAACTCTGATATGGTACCGTATTCCCCCGTATAAAACACCCGCCACTATTCAGCTCCCCCGGGTAGCTTGAGCGGGTATGGGTGTTTAATTTTCCGTTATTTTTCCTTCTCCTGCTGTGCCAATGGTATCAACACCAGCGGGAGTGGGGAAAACGAGCTAGTTGCCACTGTGCCGCGGGTATTCAGGTAGAAGATCTGAATCTGGCCTGTTGAAAATCCCCGAAAATATCGCGAAATCGAGCACGCCGAGCCGAATCAAACGGCCGGTGCCTCCTACTGGTTGGGAAACCGGCACTCATCAGGACACATGTCACGCCTGCTGCACACGCTGTCTGCTTGAATCTGCACGTTCACTGCCGATGTGGCATGCAACTGGGCTACATCGTCAGGTGCGCGATGTGGTGAACAAAAGTCGTCATTTGACTCAAATGAATGTGGTGAAACATGCACATTTGAATTCCACATGGGAATGCCATACGCATGTTCCAGAGCTCCTGGGTGTTTTTTTTTTTTTTTTTTTTTTTTTTTTTGCCTTTAATTACACCCATCCCAAAATTTTCATGCATTTTTATTAACACCATAGGGTGCTTTATACGAGGGATTACGTTACCATGAGTAGGTTAGGTCCCCCCCCGCCCACCCGCGCTTCCGCCTTAGGTCCTAGCCTGCCCCGTCGCCTAGCGCCTAGCCGCCCCACTGGCCCCGCTGCCCCGTTGCCTAGCTGGCCCGTCGGCCCCGTCTCCTAGCGCCTGCTGGCCCCGCGGCCCTGTTCCCTAGCGCCTAGCCGCCCGTGGCCCCGTTGCCCCGCCACGTAGCGCCTAGCCGCCCCGCTGGCCCCGCGGCCCCGTCACCTAGCGCCTAGCCGCCCGTGGCCCCGTTGCCCCGCCACCTAGCGCCTAGCCGCCCCGCTGGCCCCGCGGCCACGTCACCTAGCACCTAGCCGCCCGCCGTCCCTGTCCCCCGTCGTCTCGCCACCTAGCGCCTAACGGCCCCGTGGCCCCGTCGCCTCGTCACCTGGCTCCTAACGGCCCAGTGGCCCTATCGCCTCGTCGCCTTGCGCCTAGCCGTCCTGTTGGCCCCGCGGCCGTGTCACCCCTAGCGTAGCCGCCCTGCCACCCCGTCGCCTAGCCGCCCCGTCGCCTAGCCACCCCGTGGCCCCGTTGCCCAGCCGCCCAGCGGCCTCGTCGTCCAGCCGCCCCGCGGCCTTGTCGCCCTGCGGCTCCGCAGCCCCGTCGCCCAGCCACCCTGCGGCTCGTCGCCCCACTGTTCCGCAGCCCCGTCGCCCAGCCGCCCCGCGGCCTCGTCGCCCCGCTGCTTTGCGGCCCCGTCGCCCAGCCACCCCGCGACCTCGTCGCCCCGCTTCCCCGCGGCCCCGTCGCCCAGCCGCCCTGCGGCCCATTCTCCCAGTTGCACAGCCGCTACATTTCCCAGTCCCCGCTCGCTAAACCGGCCCTCTCCACCGTCCAGCACTGCGCCCCACTGTGCTGCACCGCTCAGCACCGCACTGCACCGCGCCCCACTGAACTGCACCGCACCCCACCTCACTGTACCGTACCCCACCGCACTATACCGCTCTGCACCGCGTGGCACCGCACTGCACGGTGCCCCATTGCACTGCACAACTCTGCACCGCGCGATGCTGCACTACACCGCACTCCACCGCACTGCACCGTACAACACTGCTCCCCACTGCTCCTCGTTGCTCCGTCCCGCCCTTCACCACCTGTTCGCGGCTGCAACGGCCTTCATGACGGACTCGGTGCTGCGCTTTGACACAGAGGGTCAGCCGGTTGAGTTTGACGCATGGCTCGTCGACCTCCGCCGTCACCTCACTCGTCAGCGGCAGGACAGCCACTCCCTGGCCGTCCACATTGACGGTACACCCCCCTGCCCAGACCCCCCTGTTGCTCTCCCCGCTGACCCCACGTCTGCTGATCGTGAGTCTGCCGCCGCTGCTG